CATTTAACTTTTGCAAGTTGCAAGTGGATGTTCATGCTTTTGGACAACAGATGCTCAATAGTTGAGTTGTTAGATGTAATAACAGTACAGTTGAACTGACATGTTTAATCACACAACTTATATCTTAATATGAATGGCATAAGTAGTGTATATAGATTTTTCTAATGGCTGCACTATGAGTACAACATGGATGTACCGAATATTTCTGGGGGTTGTCCATGAGAAAGATGGAGGGACTGGTGTTAAGTCAAGGTGTCTTCTGAAACCTTTAGATTTAGATAGCTTTACTTTTTTGCATAGGCACAAGCACCTTAAGTTTACAGTTTCTCTCTTCTTTCATTCTTTCAGTGTCTATCCTTAAACAGAGCAAGTTGAGGATTTATGATTTGATGGAAAATCCGTCTTTCCAAATTTAAAATCCTACTCTTTCGTGTGCTCGGATTCCTTTGGGACACCCACAGCTGAGACGTGAATAAGTGACTCAAGTCTCCACATAATGCCACAAAGATACACAGATTATTTTCTCATAAACCTGATGCTGTGGAGAGCTCCCTCTCATGTGCTATATCCATATCTACAGTTTGCATTAACTTGCTCAGCAATTTGTTCTGAATATCTTGAGGAGTCTGTAATCTTTTCTATTGGTAATGAAGAAGGTCTCTCTTCCTTGCCCACTTCTTCTCATTTTCAGCTTTCTCGTCCCTCCTCCAGACTGAATTATGAGATCTTTTGAAATAATTCTGGTAACTTATTATACCACCAGTGAATATGTGGCCCTTGGCAAACTCTGAAGCAAGGCAAAGTGGGGTTTTATTACATAATTGTCCCGCTTTTCCTTTTTTAACATATTACTGACCTGCACTTTCTGCCATTCTTCTCCTGGTCCTCACATACCCATTGCCCTCCATGTTGCCATCTGGTTGTTCCAAGTCCCAGTGTCTTCTCCTTTCCTTGTTCCGAGTTCGAAAGTTTGGTTTAAAGGACTTCTCTGCGAGTAATAATGCATATTAGAATGTGAATGAAAATGAACCCTTCTGGAAGGCATAATTATTATCTCAGTGAAGTGGCCAGCCTGCATTACTATGCAGAGTTCCACCTTAAGTGCCAGGAGACCTGCATTCTGGTGCTTGGTCTGACTTTAACTGTTGTGTGATAGTCAAAATTAACAAGAGTCTGGACTAGTTTTTAGGTTACTTTCACCTGAAACCTTTATTTGAAGGTATGAACATGTGTTCTCTTTACTACCACATAAATACACACACGAGAATGAACTGGAGAAAACAGGAGTCCCTAAAGTAAAAACAAAACCAACAAAAATTACTGCAAATTATGTTGCTTATGAAGCTCACGGGGCTCAGTTGAAATGTAAGGGTATTTTCTTTCAGTTGTTGTAGCCCACGAGGTATTTTCACATCACTCCCCTCCTCTGTCAGGAGTGGAGCCGCCCCTTATTAAAGCCGAATCCTGAAGCAAAGAGAGGAGACAGGAGTGCATGTGGAAGTGGTCATGTCAGGCTTGAGAAAAACAAATAACCACCTGGCATCCTCTTCCCTGAAGCACATACCATTAACATTCCATAAATATTCATTTCTTCACAATTTTGCCTTGGTCCTGTGCTCATACATATATTTAGCTGTTGGTGGCACCAGTCCAGAAATAAACTGTGGAGTTGGGTGAGCTATTTGATAAACTTAGTCTTTTGAAAAATGGAGCTCTCCTTTTTAATGAACATTGCACACACACACATACATTTTTAGAAGCCATGTGAAATGTTGGTCCGGTCTTTGTGTGTGCTACGTTAGGAGGAAACCCAACCCCCAGCTCCAGGAGCGCCACCTGTCTTGGCTGTAGTTTGGCTTAAAGCGAGTGACACAAGGGTTTTATACAGTGCATCGCGTAGGAAGTTTGGCCCCACATTTCTTGAGACGTCTTTCCTCTTTGACTGGGATCTGCTGAAAAGTCTTTAGAGCCTCATCTAGATCATTCCTTCATCGCTTTGCCCCAGTCATGAAGTGCATCGTTATGCCAAGTGTGCAGACCTCATGAAGTGTGCCCTCGTGAAAGGACAGTCTCTTTTCTCATTCTGGCTGCTTTCCTTATGACAGCCCACTGTGCAGACAGACAAGAAGTGTGGCCCCAGGTTTCTACTCAGAAGGTAGGGGATTATACATGGTGATGGATTTTAGCAGTGCTCTGAGCTTGCAAATGTTCACATTTCAATACCTTTTACTTTGCTGTATGTTATAGAGAATGTCTATTCCTGGAACTAAAAATGAAATTCATTTGACAGCCTGACTCTGTGTTGTCCCAAATGTAATCATTGTAAACCTATATTTTCTTGATCTATTTATAATATTTCCTTACTTCCAGAGAAGTGTGCTTTTAAGTTGCCCTCTCATCACTTCTAATTCTTTGCTGTTTTGTAGGTTTTAGTAATGTCAAACTATCCCTGGTCCTGGTGTCTGTTGCTCAAAATATGCCACAAATAAAAGAAAGGCAATGCAATTTGTTGTTTCTAATTGGTATTTGATTTTACATATCTGTTGTCTTTGATATCCCTCTAATTGTGTCCTGAAAATACCTAATTCCCAATGGGCTGAAATGATGCCAGATTCTAGAATATAACTAAGTACATGCTTACTCATATTACTGTATTAAAGGAACATTGTTATTGGAAGTTTTGTTTTTGTTTTGAGAGACAACTTGTTTTTCTTACTTTATAAGATCAAATTTTAAGGGTAAATGTACGATAATAGAGAATATATGGTAACAAGCCATGAATACATAAATGATAAAAATATTTAATGTTTATTTTCTTATTACTAGAATTAGATTTTTATGAGAGATATTTAAAAATAGAATGTGAATGAGTATTTTTACTTGTTAACGATTCATAAGACAATGAAAATACATTTATTTTAAAAAAGCTATTGGCTATACATTTGATGTTTCATTTTTAACTAAGATATCAGTTACCATATTGTAGAAATTATCTTGATAATTTTCTCAAAACTTTGACTTTTATTATGATTTATTAATGACACAAATCATATTTTCATTGCATTACAAATTGCATTTTAAGCTGTTTAATTTTTTTCCATTTTTAAAATAAAGATAATTTACATACAGTAAAATTCACCTCTTTTTAGTGTATAGTTCTCTGTATTTTGAGAAACATATATAGTTGTGTAATCACTGCCACTACTAAGATATAGAGCAGTTCCATCACACTCCAAGATTTTCTCTTGTGGTTTTTGGTCAACCCCTCCTTCCGTCTAGTAACCACTGACCTGTTTTCTGTCTGTATAGTTTTGTTTATTTTTTTTTCAAATCTGTCTTTTTTTTGGTGGGGGAACATTTTTTTTTAATTGAATGAATGTGACATATAACATTGTGTACATTTAAGGTGTCCAGTGTGTTTTTTTTTTTGTAATATGATTACCATTGTAGCCATATTTATCACATTATGTAATTATAGTACAATATTGTGTGTGTTCATTGTTAGTTAGATTTCTGTGGCTTATTTACTGCTTATTCCAAGTTTGTAGCCTTACACAGAGTTAGCCTTGTCCCCCCATCCCCATCTCCTGGTAACCACCATTTTGCTATCTGTTTTTTGTAAGTTTGATTTTATTAGAGTTCACTTATAAGAGATATACAGTACTTGTCTTCCTCTGCCTGACTTGTCTCACTTAGCATAAAGTGCTCATGGTCCATCCATGTTGTTGCAAATGGCAGGATATCCTCCTTTCTCATGGCTGAATAATATTCCATTGTATATATATATGGATACATGTATATGTGCTTCTTTCATCTAGCATAACACATTTGAGATTGATCAGTATTGTTGTGCATATCATTTTTGCCTTTGTAAGAATGCAATTGCTTGTTTTTGTCATAATTTCTTAGATTAGTACTGTCCTTTCATTTTTCATTCAAATATATTTTTATTTTATATATCCTTAAATTTTGTTTTGGCTTATAAAATTGGCTTGGCTTATAAACAAGAGACTTTGTTGGTTAATCATTTCTGAGAATTAATTTTGGGGTTCTCCCCATGGTTGTCTGCTCTCATTCCTTTTCTACTCCTAGTGTCTCCCTTTTGCTCTCATACTTGCTTTCTTTGTTCCTACAGGTGTTTAGTTTTCATGTCTTCTCACTCCTTGTCATCTGTTTGACTGAAAGATGTTAGACCTATTCAGATTCCTAGTTCTGAAGGAAGAAAGAAGCTCATTATCAGTTGTTTAAAATGTTTGTTTGTTTATTTATTTATTTATTCATCAATCACTGATCATTTTCCAATTTCTATAAATGGCAAAAGAAATAAGAAGAGTCTAAGAATCCTAGAATTGAAAGAAATTGAGATCAGGAAATTAATTTTTCATTCTCCCTTCCAAGCCAAATGAGAGATGGGGCTAGGGTTTGTTACCCAGGAGCCTCTGTGACATGGCCTGTGGGCTGCAATGTGTGGAAAGAGGAAATAATCTGAGAGGTAAATCAAAAAGTCAGGTGGGCTGCCAAGAACAGTTGTCAGTTTGAAGAAGCTGAAATGGAACAGAAACCAGGGAGGCAAGATAGACAAGTGAAAATAGACAAGAGGCCTGGAGCCACTTCCTGTGGGGGGTACTTTTTTACAGACGAGAAGTGAGCAGTTTAAAGATACCTGTACGTGGAAAGAGGCAGTCCCCATTACTGTAGTTCTGGCTGGTGGCTTTCAGAAACATCCGTGAATGGAGCACTTATCTCAATACTCAATATTTGAAAAAATGTAATTGATAGAAATCTTCCTTATACTGAATTGGAATCAATTGATTAACCATTACTTCTAGCTCTGCCCTTTGGTTTTACACAGGCTGTTTCACATAGATAACTTTGCAGATGTCTGAAACATTTTCACCCTCGATAAACTTGTCCTTTCTTAGGATAAAGAAATCAAGTTTCTTCAGTTATGCTTTATATATACTATACGGATTTATTTCACCCTTCACACTTCTGATTACTCTCCTCTGGGAATGCTTCTCTTTGCTGAAGTTTCCCTTTAAAATGTATCTAGAGCTAAATACCATAGCATGAGTGTGGCCTGAATGACTCAGAACACAGTGAAAATTTATCTCCATTTTTCTCTAACCTAAGAGCAAATTTGTGTTTTGAGTCATGTTGTTATATTGTTAATAGAATTATAATTCATTTCATGTAAGTTGGAACTAACATAGAATTTGAATATGTTATTTTAAAAATAGGATGGGTATATCTGTTAAATTTTTTATACTTTAGTTATTGAGCATGTCAAGCTTTTAAAAAAATCCTGATTCTGTTACCTGTGTTAACAATTGTGGCATCCATAATTTGATTAGTACATTTTTACAGCTCTACTTAATTTTTTATGAAAATATTGAGCAGAACAGGGTTAATAAGAATAGAGCTTGTTCTAAAGTTAGTGAGTTTGGACTCTGTGACTTGTCATTAATCCTCTGAATGCGATTATTTACCTACCTATATACATTTGAAGTTAATCGTAACTGTCATTATAATAATGGCTAACACTCATTGAGCAGCTAAAGTAGATACTTTTCTAAGCAATTTGTGTATGTTAATTAATTTAATCTTCCTGCTACCTTTACAAGATCATACTGTTGTTTCCTCATTTTACCAGTGGCAAAGCTGAGTCACAGGTTGTCAAGAACTGTGAGGTATCTGAGATTTTACCCAACTTGCACGCTGACAAGTTAGCCAGCCACTGTTCTGTGGACTATCATAGGAGACAAAAGACTTCTGAGTCAGAGACAATGGACTTTACTACTCCTGGTACAGCAAGCGGCATGAGCCTCATGTTTGTTTTGGTTCCTCGTCCTCCAGGTCCCACAGAGGCTCTGCAGAGTAGCTCAGGTCCATGCTGCACACTCTGTATCACAGGTGAGGAACCCCAAGTTTAGGAACCCTGATCTTTTATAATGGGCTGTAAGCAAATCTCCCCTTTGTTCCAGAGGGAGATACAATCTCTGTCTTCAGAGACTATTTGCAATACAAACATCCCTGAAAAGACAGTCTAGGACAAAGGCTGTCGGTGCCTCTGTTCACAGAACATGCAGAAACTTGACAGAACCACGGCATCTGCCTCTTAATTCCAAATGTTAAGAAATTTCCCCAAAGTTACACACATGGTAAGTGGACCTACCCCTAGTTGGCCATGAGAGACTTTTCCACACTTTTCTTGGTCCAGGCATTATATACATGTCAGAAAAAGAAGGAAGGTTTAGCATGGCTTATTTTTAACAAATCCATGGCAGGTTTTAAAGAAAATTTTAAGTGCTCACAAACCATCTGTTTAGTAACCTGTTCTAAAATTTTGTTGGGGAATAGTGTCAAGATCACCGATCTTCATTTCCTAGGATCCTTTTACCTTAAAAAAAAGAGAATAATGTTGCCCCCTCTTATGGTTTACATCTGCTCACCTGTTGTGTGTTAACTCTTCCAAGGTTATCAGCTATGGTTCTGTGATAACAATTCTTGAAATTGTAATCCATTGGTCCTTGTACTTGAACTTCTTTAAAGTGACTTGCAGTCCTCTTATTAATTCCTGAGCTTTGATTTTCTTACTAATCATATTTGATTTTCTGTTTTAGTTTTCTCACTTTTCTTTTTGGTGGAGAAGTTAAAAACCACCTAAGATGCAAGAAACTCAGCTTTGTTTCAATTATCTGTTAACATCCCATTTTCCCCAAACAGAAGGCTCATGTCTTTTTTAATATTTTTCCCATATCTAAATAAGATCTTGAAGTGTTTTTTTTCCCCTCCAGGGGTGAGTGGAATTTGTTTCAGCCCATTTTAAGTATTTATTAAAGCTTTGAGTCTGTTTCTATACTATTTCTTGCCATGTAATATCACTTTAGAGGTTGAATAATATCTGTGTAGCTGTGTTTTTTAAGATATTTTAAATTTTTTCCTTTGTGTCTTCTGAGGCTGGAGGCTCATAATTTCATTTTCAATAATTCATAATTTCAGTAGATATTTATTACAGGCCATTTTTTATTTTAGAGTTTCATGCCAAGCCATTATATATAAGTAGAGGTTGGCAATTTTATTTTTTTCCTGTGAAGGGTTAGCTAGTAAATATATGTTGGGGGCCATCAGGCTCTGTCACAACTATTTGACTCTGCCATTGGAGTAGAAAGCAGCGATGGACAATACCTAATTCAATACCTAATGAACGAATGTGGCTGTGTGCTGGTAGATTTGTTTATGGACACTAAAGTTTGAATTTCATATGATTTTCCTATTTCACAAGATATTCTTCTTTTAATTTTTATTCAACCGTTTAAAACTGTAAAAACCATTCTTTCCTCACAGAACATCTAAAATCAGGCAGTGAGCCAGTTTTAGCCTACAGACTATATTTTGCTATATACACACACACACACACACACACGCAGAGTTATTCATATAAATATAGACATCTTTTTTCATCTCCATTTCTAAAATCCATGCCAAAGTTTGTTCACTGGTTTGAAATTATGAGCTGAAAACTGACATGGACTTCTAAGAATTCTGTGACATATTTTATCATAATAGTTCTTCTTTTTCACTGCTATTAAGTCCAAAGTAGTAGTTGTCCTCATTGCTTCTTAAGCCTTCAGAGAGAAGAAATTATTAGTAAGCTAATAATTCATTAGATGCTCAACAGTTGCCTTTAGTAGTATTACAGCATCAACCTGGTTAATAAAGTGCAGTGACCAGCCGTCAGTGGTCTAGATAGTGGACCAGGAACCACATTCACATCAGTTTTCCTGTAAGTCAGGGAAAAACAAAAATGTCCGAAAGGTCCCTGGGTTGGGAAGAAGAGTCATGAACCATCAGAGCTAGCAGAGGCACCCTGAAGTGTGAGACAAAGCTTTGGCACGACCCAGTGAGTGAGGATACATAGGGGTAGACCAGACACCTTGGGCACAATTAGATGAGTGAGGTATCTGGGTGGAATCGGAAGTCTGAAAACTGATCACATCGGGGCTCTCAATCAGCCAGAAGGCTGTTTAACTAGGTTTGCTTCTGTGCCTTTGGGTCAGGAGAGCCTCCTGCTATATTTACTTACATTGACTCTGTAAGTTTTTTTTTTTTAATATGTTCTGGTATTTCTTTATTTATATTTTCAAGATAACAGAAAACCAACCTTGCACAGTCTGTCTTGGGGGATGCTTCTTTTCTTATATTTGCTGTAAACTTTGTAGATTGTACAGTATCAGCTGGAGGAGATGGGAAGATGGATGAAAAGACGAAGAACTAGGGATAGTAAAGTTCTTTCCCTTGATGGTCTTTCTTCCTTGCCATGGGCAAATCCACAGTACTCAGCTCGCTGGTGGACTATTTGACTCCTTTTTTTCCCCCTCAGAATTCATAGCTCTCTTTTTGACAAGAGGCCTGATTTAGAGGTAACATTTGTTACTTTATCATATGAAAGAGTTGTAAATTGAACAACATCATTTCTTGAAATTTTAATCTTTTTTTGCTTTCACTGTTCAACATCTTGAACAAGTAATTTGTGATTTCTGATTCCAAACTAACATATAATACCCAATGCCCCTAATCTCCTCCTCTGAATTCATCTTGTGTTTACTTTGCTTTCTTTGACGTATCGGCACTTAAGTGAACAGTAATTCTTACCATTTTAAGGCTCCGAAAACATACTTGTATCATATAATATTGAATTTCCTTGTGAAATAACTCAGTTCAAAATTGTATGAATTTTATAGTTCTGAGTCTTGAAAATTTTGGGTACATAGGCCTAGGTAGTTGCCATTGTGTGGAGTGAAAGTCCTTTTTATAGTGTCGTGTGTGTTAGTTTACCAAAGTCACAGTCAGAATCACTTTCAGAAGAGAGAGATTTCAAAATAAAAGATGAAAAGTACAGGCAAATCTCTTTCAGAGTTAAGACAACAATAAATGAAATATTTATGAGTCGGGACTTGGCTGTATGAGAAGATACAGACAAGCCTGTGGTTTCATTACATCACTTACAGTATTTCTGTGACCTAAAAACAGAAAGTGCAGAAAGACCTAATGCAGTCAGGTGTGGGGCGGCTGAGACTCGTGAAGCTAATGAACTGTTACGGTCTTCCTCAGAGAGTGAAGTTCTCTCTCTTTCTTTTTTTTTTGAAAATGTTAATAAAGGTTGAGGAAATGCAACTAGAGGAACAAAAATATTGTTTGATGACATAGTGATACAAATTTAAGAAAGAGTTAATTGAAAAAATATTCCTGTATTTGTTTGTAGCCTTTATTTACAGAGCTATACTGTTATTTGTTTTGTAATCACATTTTCCAACAAGGACATTTAGTCATTTTAACTAGTTCTCACTTAATTTAAATTTCTTTTTTTTTTTTTTAAATTTTTTAATAGACTTTATTTTTTTACAGCAGTTTCAGGTTTATAGCAGAATTGAGTAGAAAATACAGAGTTCCCACATAGCCCTCCCCACCCACATATACTCCCCTCCCCTCAACATCCCAGAAAATACAGAGTTCCCACACAGCCCTCCCCACCTACATGTATATACTCCCCTACCCTCAATGACCCTCATCAATGTGTGGTGGTAAAAGTCAAAGTAAATTTAGTGTGTTTTTTGATGGGGCAGTTGAATTCTCCCTTGTAAAATGCCCAAGTAAATTATGATAACCAAACTAAATATATTGTTAGATGAGGGAATCACCTTTTATTGCTAGAAAATGAAAGCATTTATTCAAATAAAGAGACCTAGTGTCTCTTAACATAGTTTTTGAAATGCTGTAGATGGTGCTCTTGAGGAAATATCTGAAACATAATATAAATAAGTGAAAAAAATCATTTGTGATAATTTTGCTAGTCATAAGAATTGATTAGAGAAAATTGTCAAACTGCTGACCAGTTTGACCTTGATTATCTGATTCATTAAAAGTTCTGGAGAGGGACCAGAAAGCTGTACATTAAGAAAATATTCTACAGAATTCAAATAAGGTGGTATGAAGAGCACACTTTTAGAAACACCAGAGTAAAATATTACATGGCATTTCTAAGCTTTTTTTTTTAAAATAAGGGATTGAAATAGAACCTAAATTTCGCTGGTTATCAGAAATAAAATTGTGATTTATATAAAATGTAACAAACTCCTGTAAGAATAAATTAATAATCTCTAAAGTTCTAACAATTTTCACTTCCAATTTTTTTTATTTATCCAGTGAGCATTTTGGGTTTTTATTAGTAATCTAAAGAAGTTTTCAATTTCACATGTAGAAAACAAATTATAGAAATGAGGGAATACTGTTAGCTTCCTTTAAAATTAGGGAAGGGAGGACGTTAGGGGTGGGGGCTGGGAGAGAGGGAGTTGTGTGTATTTTAAGCCTGACACTTTTAAGTTTGTCAGGTGTGTGTAAATTTCTCTTGTGACATTTTAGTTAAAGTCTTTTTGGTTTTTTTGTCTTCATTGAGCTAAGTTTATGCTATATCATAATGGTTGGCTTAAAATTACACAAAATAAAATGAAGATTTGGGAACTATCTGAAGAATTTCAGTAGGTCTTTTTCAGTCAAACATTTCTAAAGTCTAGACAGTCTTCCGAAGTTTGTCATTTGACTGTTTGAAATTGGGAATAATTCTTTCTGTAGGAAAAAAATGTTATAAATGTTGATTAATTTGCAATGAAAAAGTTGATAGGAAATTATGTTTTAATACTAGTATTTTAAGACAGAAAATCAGTTTGTTTTCAATGCTTGTAGTTGGTACCACCTAGTTTATAGAACCCTTTCCCAGTCAGCAGGAGGCTGTTTCTTGTTTTGCAAATTCTGCATCTACTCAGAGAATCTCTTAACCCCCTGGGTTTCCTCTAGTCTCCCTCAGGAAATGGGTTATCTCATACTCTTCTCTGAGTTCATAGAATTTATAACTTGGGATACAGCTTTGGATTTTGGGGGGCTAGACAATGAGCATGGAGTTCTAATTTTATCAAATAGCAGATGAAGAAGGGAGAAAAGGAAATAAAGGAGAAAGGAGAGGGAAATCAGACTACTTCCCTTGTGGCTAATAGTAAGCAAGCTGCCTGGACTGGCTTGGGGTGCATTTAGAACAGGCGAGAGGGGTTTGGTTCTGGGTCGTCCCATCTCTGGAACAGTGCAAGGAGCAAGAGCCAGAACCAGTTGGTTAATCCCTAACCCTCAGAGCACTAACTCTGTTAACAAGCCAAGTCAAAGCAAAACCAAAAGGAGGGGACACCAAAGTGAGTGAACAAATCCTTTCATTACTGTTGAATTCAGGT